ATGGAGCACAGCCAAAGGATGGAGTTTCGAGGGTTCTCGATGCTGACTCCGATGCCAAAGGTAATAAGGAAGAGGATCAGTGTGACCATCGCACTGTAGCTGTCGTTTGCCGCATTTACTCTCTTTCGGTCTGTCCCTGAGAGGTTTGGGAGTCCATCAGGATGCTCATCGCTTTGAAGCGGTTGTGGCTGTCTTTCAATTGGCAAACCGGGGACCCTGATTTCCCGTGCCCTCGAACAGGTGCCACGACTTGGAGCAAAGTGAGCGTGGACCAGAGAGTCACTTTCAGCCTCGATGTAATCCATCAATTGCTTGGCATCCTCTTCTTTGGTAACATCGCAAGCAAAAATTGAAAAATTCTCTGCACGCTGCTTGTCCTTTTCAACTGCTGTAGCCCTAAAACCAACAACACGGCAAGCTTTAGACAAGCGACATGACCCTGCAAAAATTTCCAGGACTAGTGGATCTCTGTTAAAAAGTTTATCTCCTGTGTCTGGTACTGATTGCAAAACTGGACTGGGCTCATTTGCATCTGCCTCCTGGGAAAAACGGTGCTGGTGCAAAACTTCGGATGCAGTAGAAATTCCAGAAGATTCTTCTGGTTCTGCTATCCTGGAAAATTGATCCTCATTAGGACTTTTGCTTCCTAGTCAATTCTTGCACTCGAATGCACCGTGCCCTGGTTTGAGGCATTCATACAAAAGCGGTAGCAAAATTTGCATCTGCCCTTTTCACCTGATTGGAGCAACCCTTCTGCAAGTTCCTGTGCCAGCACAAAGGCTTGTTGTCCTTGGTCTTAAGGTGTAAGCCTTGTAGCTCAGCGGGCACTTGAGGAGAGACCTTATTGTTGTCCAACTTCGGCTGCAAAGGTTTCTTCTCGAACTTGTTCTTGATAGGCCCCGATCTTTCGCTTCCACATTTGTGAAAACACGAGCGGCGTGGCAGCTCTTTTTCACAGCTCGGACTTGAGCTAAACCACACAGGTTTGACAGCTCAGTCACTCTTCTTCTTAGAAGAGTCGTGCAGAGTAAAACGCAGTGACACTCAAACGTTCTCAAACTTCTCAAACTACTTCAAAAGAGTTCTCAAGCTTCAAAAACGTTCTTCCAGCTTCTCCAAATAAAACGTCTTCAGCTCAAACTCACAAATAACCTACAAAACTCCTACCAAATAAGTTCACAACATCAAGTTCCTAAGACATGGGTCAAACAACATCCAAAAACACCAAAAACCACAAAAACAAACGAAAATCCATCTCCAAGCTCTTCCATGCACAAACTGGTTCCATTTGGTTCCAAATTGGTTCCTACCTGGTTCCTATAGGTTCCTATGGGTTCTATAGTTCACAGATCGGTTCCTACAAACTTAAAATGGTTTCCTAACTGTTCACATGCACATGCATTGTTCCAAGATAGGTTTAAAGATGTTCAAGTAGGTTCAAGGTGGTTCAGTACACTGTACATCCTCTCACCAAACTTTCACACCCCTTCTTGGACAGTAGTGCTGTACACCAAAGTACCTATAGACTTGCAAGTTCCCTCGTCGGCCTGGTTCTAAGAAATAGTAAAATCAGTTTTTTTTGTTTTTTTAAATTTTTTTCACTTTGAAAGTTCATTTTTTTCATTTTTTTCTGTTTTTTTCTTCTTTTTTTTGGACATCATTTTGAAAACTGCTTGGTATGCCACCTGGTATTTTAAAAACTGGTACTTTGGAACTTTCTTACCCTCAAAACTGGTACTCTTGGCTGCCTTTGTTCCTCAAAAGTCTCAGGTTTGTGAAATAATTCCTTTTGAAAAACAAAAGCAGCCAAGAGTACCAGTTTTGAAAATAAGAAAGTTCCAAAGTACCAGTTTTTGAAATACCAGGTGGCATACCAAGCAGTTTTCAAAATGATGTCCCAAAAAAAGAAGAAGAAACACAATTTAAAAAAATGAACTTTCAAAATGGGAAAAAATGAACTTTTAAAATCTAGAATTTAAAAATCTAAAAACAAAAAGAATATTTTAAAAAAACGATTTCTGATTTTTCAAAATTGCCAAAAAAAATCAAAGAGAAGAGAATCGAACAGAGTGAACCGTCCTGCTGATCAAAATTTCAGAAGGGGAAAAAAATGAACTTTCATGTTGAGCCAATTTCTGGAATGAACTTTCATGTCAGACCAGATTTGCAGAATGAAAAAATGAAAAAAAAACGAAAAAATGAAAAAATGAACTTTTTCGTTTTTTTCATTTTTTCATTCTGAAAGTTCTTTTTTTTCTGGTCCCCAAAAAAAGTTCATTCTAAAATTTTGCCCACGTCAAATGTTCGAAGCAAAAGTTTGTTTTTTGTTTATCTCCTTGTTTCAAAATTTCAAGTTCAAATACCCTATCCCAAACCCGCCCTAAACCCTAAGAGTTTAGGGTTTAGGGTTTAGGATTTTGGTTTTTGGTTGGTTTAAGTTAAATTAAATTAAGTTGAGCAATCAACCTCAACAAATCCTGGCCAGGTTTCCCTTTGCCACAAATGAAACAATTGTCAAAATTTATATTTAGAAATTTAATTTCTTAGGCTTTGGAACACTTTCTCCAGCAATTTGAACCTTTTGGCCATGCCAAGCAAGAACCCCAACCTGTCACAGCCAGAGACAGCCTCAAAAGCCCCAAGGAAGCCCAGCAAGGCCCAAAAATGTTTCATTTTTTTCCACTGGGGATCACAAACTCCAATCACAAGCCAAAAAAAGCAGAAATGAAAATGAATTCAAAATGAAGGCAGGAAAAAAAGCTGATTTCCAAATGAACTTTAAAAATGAAAAAAAATGAAAAAAAACAAAAAAAACTAGTTTTAAGATGCTTTAGAACCAGGCCGCGGTGGAACTTGCAACTATAGACTACCATATCGTTTGTAAAGCAACTAAGTTCTGAACCCACACAACTAAGTTCCAGACATCACCAACTAAGATCCATGCTCAACAACTAAGCTAGGAACTAGCGCACAGAAAACTCGAAAACGTCCTGGGTTTTAAAGTGTCCTCAGAAAGATGATTATGGGGTATGGTTTGTTGGTCTCTTTCTGATTAACCCACAACTTTGAAACTGAGTTCACAACTTCTGCACAAAGTTTTGTTTGAAAACGTTTGTCGTTTGGAAACCTTGGTATTTGAAACTGTCTCACGTTTGTCATCATCATCTCATCTACGTAAGGGGAACTGGTGCCAATGATCTTTCCTCTGGTCACGATCTTGGCTGCCAGACTTTTGGGTATTGGGATAGACCCCAAAAAGGGTACCAAGTATCCATGCCTCTGGCCTGTGATCTTGGGAACCCTAAACCCCTCAATCTAGGATCATTCAAACACAATCCAAAACAAACTGAAACAAAGTTTCAAATCTGTTTCTCAAACGTTTTTCAACTTGGAATCTTGGCTTCTGAACTTCAAGGCTCAAGAAGTTCCTCGGTGGTGTTGTCTTCTAAACCCTTGGTTATCAGCCCAAAGCATCTGGTAGCTGGGCTTTGCACTGCCTTTGTCAAGGCACTGATGTGTGCCTGGTACACGTTGATGACAACATAGTTGCATCATATTGCATGGCCTTTGCAAGACCTTCCAATGCTGCAGGTTTGGACTTCCTCTGCATTAAGCTTCCCTCTACAGATCTTGAACAGACAGTTCATGAAGACCAAACAAAAAGCCACACAGCACACAAGCCCACAAGAACGTACAAAGACTGACAAAACACTTGAACCAGAACTCCAAGACAGAAGGTTCCACAAGAGTTAAAGTCAAGTTCAAGACAACCTCAAAACCAAGTTCCAAGAACATGCCACAAACAAACATGTTATGATCCTCAGCTGCAAGGGTGTCTCATATGGCAGTGCCATCTCTCAGACCCTTTTGGCAGCTACATCATTGGATCATCGTTGTACCTTAGTTCAAGTTACTTACAAAAGCGTTCAAGACAAGTACAAAACGTTGCAAGACCATTCCAAAAACAGAGCAGTGAAACTGTCGACAAGTTGAACTGCAAAACCATGACAACTGTAAAAACTGTTGCAAACAGAGTCCAATGAGTCCACATGTGTCCAACTGCATGCAAGTGACATCAAACTAGATACCAAGTGAAAACTGTTGACATCAAATCCCAAAACAGTGAAATGAACATCACATGAACTGAAGATTCCAAACTGTGTCAACTGGCATAACCTACACACATAATAACAGCTTCTGCAGTGTGTTTGAACGGCTTCTGCAAGACAGTTGAACGTTCCTGGAAACAAACTGGATAACCCTGGCAACTGTTTCCTACACAGCCTCTGTAGGCAGCTCTTGACTGACAGCTTCTGTTGTTTCTTGGACAGCTTCTGCAAACCCTGGTAATGCAAGAACAATCACAACAAAAATGCAAACACGTGCAATGACAAATTGTGCAATCCCATTTTGGATCTCTGCTGCAAGTCTCTGAACTCACGGCTTTTGGAGTGGCCCTGGAAAAGACGAAACTAGGTGAACCTCGAGGCCGCTTGAAAAACGTCCTATTCTCCTAATCTAGCCCTCTCAGATCATCATCCAAAAGAAACCACATTCACAGCCTCAAACTCAACGTCATAGCTCAGCCAATCCAGCTGCAAGCTTCCATACTTTGAAGAACTCAAGGGAGAAAATGAGACGGTAAACGCCTGTGCATATGGTTGCCAATGCGCACCATACCCAATCCAAATTCTCCCTGGTAATCAGTGGAGACGAGCATTCTGAGCGTGAGCTGTAGGGCTCACAGGGGTTGGCCCGATTCATCTCTGATCGAGACACGGATGGCCTGAGGAGGCAGCAAAGGAGTTCCTCCAACAGGTGCCCCAACAGATGGTCCAACAGGTGGTCCAACAGAACTTCCTTTCCCCAACGTCTGGTTGAAGCTTTGGCTGGAATATCCTGGCTGGCCATAGGTCGCCATGGGAGTTCCTGCAGCCACTGACGATCTATACTCTGGAGGTGAAGCCATTGGTGCCTTTGGCCCTGGCGTCATCGGTGTCTCAGGAACACTTCCGGAAGGCATCCCTGGTAACTGCTCGTGCCAGCTCTGTGAGTCCCTCCTTGATTCCTTTGACAGCCTCCACCCAAGAGGTATGGTTACTCTTTGTGGTATTATTCAGCTGGATCACCTCAGAGAGAAGCTTCTGTGACAAACTTTTGACGCTGTTGTTGACGTCAGCCTTACTGCCTGAGACTTGGCAGGCAATGTCACGGACCCTCTCTCCCAAATTGTTGATGGCAGCCAGTGCATATTTTTGAATGACTTTATCCCCGTGATACTCTGTCATGAAGGCCGCAAAGTCATCACACTGGCGCTTTTGAACATCCATGTGTTGTTGAACGGCTCTCAGAGCCTGCCCAGTAAGGGCATAGCCCTCTTCGACCTTGGCCATCAATAACGGAATCTTTTCCGCTATTACGCTTTGGTGGTGGCGCATGATCTCCTCTTTCTTCAGTGGAATCACGCTTCAAAGCTGCTTCCTCATCTGTTTTCTCGGCTGCTGCAACTTCTGACTCCTTTGGAGTGATAGCTTCAGCCTCTGGAAGCTCGCTCTCTCCAGTCGCACCACCAGGCACCACGGCTCCCTCAGTGATCTCAGCATTGGCCTCTGGCACGCTTGAAAAACTCAGACTTTCCACTCTCGCTTGATCAAAATGGAATTTTCAAAACATCAAGCTGAACAACAGTAAAACTTTTCACGATGCTCGAAATTATCTAAAACGGTTCAACTTCAAGGATTTTCGAGCATCATCACTTTTCTTAACTACGTAAACGGCTTCTGTTCCTAACGGCTTCTGCATCGCATTGAAAGCATTCCAAAAACCACAAAACAAGAACAGGTGTTTGAAAAAACTGGTGTTTCACTGGTTTTCGTTTCCTAGGTTTCGTTTCCTAAAAACGTTTCCTGGCAAACATGCAAACGAAAAAACTTCCAGCAACTGCAACCTGAGTGTCAACATGTTGCGCACCATGTGCACTTCAGAAATTACAGTTAGACAGCGAAAAGCCCAAAACGAATCCCTCTACTGATCAACATCGTCCAACAATGTCCACCACTCGAACATGACAAAGACTGACCAAAGAACCGAGACGGAAAAGGACAGGACACCGTCACGGAAAACCGAAAAACTCCAGCAAACCATCCAGACGGGACAACAGAAGTACTCAAGGTCCACATCCGCCGATTTGCAGTAAAAGAACAGTACAAAGTGAAAAACTGTAGGAAGGGACAAAAGCTTCAGTGGGAGCAACTGGATTCCAGGCGGTCACCTGCGATTCCAACGTCTATCGAATTCAAAACCTTAGCAAAATGCCGTTGGGTCACAAGCGAAAAACAAAAGTTCCTTAGCAAAATGCCTCAGTTAAACGGCTTGTGTCATGCAATTCGTTCGGAAAATTTTCAAAACTCAGGTGCTACCCACCCTTCCAAGAAACTTGACATCTGCCCTTCTTCGGCTAGCAACTGCAGCCTACGCAGAATTTTTTTTCCGTCCGACGCCTTGTAGCTCTCGCCAGGTCGTTAATCAAGCCGGAAAGCTAATGCAGATTGGTAAATTCAGCGGATTAATGCAATTGCAACATTCTCATGTGACAATGTGCACCAAAAGCAGAACTGAACAAGGATCAATACATAATCCATTGAGCTGTCACCGAAGGCCACACAACCAACACAAAACAACCAACAAAAAGCAATAACAAAGACACAAACAAACCAAACACAACCCAAAAACCGCACGAGTACGGAACAAGCCGTTGGTGTTAAGTCCTGGCACGAATCCTCCCTCTCTTTCTCGAATTTTATCAGCATATCCCTAGTCTTGAATGACTTGGTCAAACCGTCACTTGGGTTTTGAAGTCCGGGGATGTGCTCTAACAAAAGACGCTTTTTCTTCACCAGCATTTGAATGCACTTCGCACGAAGTTTAAGTGACGCAACATCAATCTTGTCTGAAATGCGATGCCAAGCTGCAAAAGAGATGGCCTTTCATACGGGCAGGTGTTTTCTTTGACTCCGAAATTGCACATTCCGTCTGGGATCAGACGTTGCAGAAAGTCTCTCGTGGAGAAGCTGAAGGACCTTTTGACCTGAATGAGGTGCCACCGCATTTTCCACTTAGTCGGCGCTTTGGTGTCAAGCAGAGTGGAAAAATCAGATGTGTTGATGACCTCTCCTGGTCTGGAATCAACGCTGCATTCCGGAATCCCAACCACGAGAAAGTCCAAAACCTCATACACTTGATGTGGTGGCGGCAATGATCAGTGCAGTTACTGTACAAGAAACAAATTGGGACGCACAGAGAGAAAAAGCATGTGTTAAGTTAACACTTACGCTCATGCTAGTGCGTCGCAAATCTGCTTGCAAAACATCTGCGGGCAGCAGCAAAATTTTCCGATGGCTGGCCCCACTTTTGGGTCCAAATATGGACCCCAAAAAGGGGCCCAAGCAAAGACTTAAAAGAAGGAATGAAAATGTGATCCAATTCTGGACCCTATTTTGGGGTCCATATTTGGACCCAAAAATGGGGTCAGCCATCGGAGAATTTCGTTGCTGCCCGCAAATGTTTTGCGAGCAGATTTGCGACCCAGCAGCTTGAACATGAATGTCAACACATACCTTTTCTCTTTTGTGCGTCCCAAGGCCACTTGCTACTGTCGAGGTCTCTCTATCGCAGCCATGTTTTGAGCACTTTTTTCGGCCCTGTTTTTGGGGCCATGATGAAGCAGGTTTGTTGGCATTCGACGCGCTCCGAGGCTCACCGAGGCCTGCCCGAGGCCAGGCCTCGGACGCAAAACGTAATGGCACGAGGACAAAGCAAGGCTCACGGGGACTCGAATCTATATAATACACGTCAAGACTGAATGAGCTGAAACCAAAACGCTGGCGATGATCACCAGCCAAGATATCCATTGCTTTCATGAAAGCCTGCAGTCCAGAATGAGGACACATGCCCCGTGTGGGACCTTAACTTCAAAGCACATGCAGATTTTCGTCCCTCGATATGTTCCGTCTCTCTTGCGAAATAAAGAACACACCATGTGGCCGCCATAGCCTCAACTACATGTGATCCTGTCTCGATAGTTTTTGCGCGGGCAGCGCAGAACCCCCACACCCCCGGCGGCAATGCTGCTGTGGAACGCTGCAAAGAAGCATCTCACACTGACGCAGCATTGCCGCTGGGGAGCGGGGCGTATTCAACAGATCTCTTAAAGCGGCAGGCCCAATATTTCAAAAGCTTAAGCCCGTGGCAGGTGCAGTACTTTGGCAGCTAACAACCCCGTCGCAGGCACAATATTTCAGAAGCAAACATGGCCACATCACAGCTTAAACCCGTGGCAAGCACAGCATTTCAGAAGTAAACAACCACACATCTCAACCTGTGGCAAATATTGCAAACAAACATGGCCACCTCACAACTTAAACTGCGGTACTTGACAAACAAACATGGCCACCTCACAGCTTAACCTAGACAGCTTAAACGCTGGCAGGGGCAGTAATTCAGAAGCTAACATGGCCACTACACAGCGTAAACCCTGGCAGGGGCAGTTTTTGACAAGGAAACATGGCCACCTCACAGCTTAGCCCGTGGCAAGTATTTGACAAACAAACGTGGCCACCTCACAGCTTCAGCCGCGGCAGGGTTTAAGCTGTGGGGTGGCCATGTTTCCTTTTGAAATACTGCGCCTGCCAAGGTTTGCGCACAGAAACCTACCGTGTAGTGCCACAACTGGCGGCACTACACGCTCACCCTCTGTGATTTTGGCGCGACGCAGAGCGCAAATACTGCGCCTGCCAACAAAATCGGCACTAAACGCTTCACACTGTGGTAAAACAGCGATTTTTAGATGCGACCGTTTGGGCGTGTAGTACCCCACTAAACGCTCCGCGCTGTGGCCGGAGACACATTTTCGCCGTTTCCTGGCGTTCGGTTGTAATTATTTTTCAAAGATCAACATAGTTTAGAAAAAAGAGCCACTACACGCTACACGCTGGACCTGTTTGCTGGTTTTTCCACGGTAAAGGCGTGTAGTGCCACAACTGTCGTACTAAACGCTCACCCTCTGTAGGTTCAGTGTCACACACGCCGTAAATACCGCACCTGCCACCAAAATCTGCACTAAACGCTGTCAGTTTTCACACCGTGCCTGCCAGAAGTATTGCACATGCCAGGCAAATCAAACCCGCAGGGGCGACAGCAAAGTTAGCGCAAAACAGCGCGCTTTCTGCAAGACGGGAAAAAGGCATTTGCAATCCTCTCCGGTTCTCGACCATGCGAACTTGGAGCAAAACAAACAATCTTTCAGGATGAGCCTGGCAGCAGGCTTTAAAGCAGGCTTCGAGGCAGCCGAGGCTGCAGAAATTGCAACAAAACAAAAAATGTAAGGATGAGGGAGAATTTTCGAGGCAAGCCTCGACGGCTGAAATTGGAGCAAATGCACATGAATGTCCATATTTTTAAACAGGTTTCACCTTCATTGAAAGGGCCGTTGCAACTTTACGCTTTACATGGGCCAATGTTCCTTTTTGTTGACCGTCTTGGCTTTTCGCTGTCCTCTCTCGGGCTATTCCCAAATTGACATTGGGTGCGGAATAAAAATTGTAGCTGTGTTCGTATCAGCAAAAAAATACACTTTCTAGGCACCAACCCACCAACCCAGATTCAGGAAGTGTGTCAAGGACATCTGTCCAAAACAAACAGCCACCTGCACCAAATGCAAGCAACCAAAACAATCAGTCCACGCAGACAGGAGTCAAGAAATTCAGCAGCCCTAAACGAACGCCAACAAGACATTCAGCAGCCAAAGACTTGAGTGTTTGGCGACAAGCCTGCTTCATCATGGCCCCTAGTAGAAACACGGCGGCCACAAAGGGACCTCGACTGTGCCAATGCAGAAGGTGGTCATGCTTGGTTGGCACGGAGTTTTGATTTGAAAAGCGCATACAGGCAGTGCGCAGTGCACCATGAGTCCCGACAGTTTTCGCATATTGTTGTCGGAGACCCCAACACGTTGTCCCTGAAGGTTTTTCGCCTCAAGGCACTCCCATTTGGAAGCGTGAAGTCGGTCCACCGTTTTCTTCGAATTCCGCACAGTTTGTTGGCCATCCTGACCTCAACTTTTTGGTGATCCAAAGGCACCGCCCTTTTGCAGCAGTTTGGTGGCGCTTGGTGTGGAGCTTGATGTATGACATCTACATAATGGTACGGTGCACATTACAAACACAGAAAGCAGGCGAACTGAGCTTGCCCAATCGTTGGATCAGGCCGTTGGGTCAAGGTCTTTGACGAAGGCTTGAAGCCCTCCGATTACGGGGGAGGATGCAGTTTGCGCGCTTGGCCCGCCGTTGCCTGGCAGTGGTGGCCCGATCAGTGAAGCAGAGCTAGAAGATCATAGCCGTGACCCTGATGAGCTTGCTGCGCTCATTGTCAATCCTGTCATAAACATGTGGAGGGTTACCCAGCAACAACAAGGCCACCCCACAATTACAGAAGAGGCTGTGTCTAGCGGTTGCTTGGCTCACCGTTACTTGGCTTTTTTTTTCCTCCGGTATGGCCGATGTCGCACTAGGCTCGGTCCTTACAATTGCGTAAGCAGTGAAAAGCAGTAA